ATTTAATTTCAGATAAATGCTCAAGCACTTGCATTTTTCAACCCTGAACCTTAGAGTATTGCTACCAATACCTTTTACTCACAATCTTGTTCAAACAGTTATTTTGAAACACTTTCTTCTCTAACACAATAGGTCAACTAGATTCAAATATAAACGAAGGACAAAACACTACTCTCTAAATCCCCACCCACCCTCCGCCCCTGATAAAACCCTTGTCTTACTTGATTCCCTACACTTTTTCTTTTCCAGCTTGAATGAAAACTGAAAAGTTGTTACAGAGTGAAATAACATTTTCAGCCTGAAGTCTGAAAAGTTATTACAGAGTAAAATCACTCCCCCACTGGGCATGCCCAGAGTTTGAGGGGAAATCTGCTTTCAAGTTGTTCTTATGGCCCTGGACCAGATGCTCTAAGGTGGCTAGAAACTGTAGTCTTCACACACTCAGCAGATTTCTGGCTCTTTATCAGGGACTAAGAGGTTTATTTGCAGAAATGAATCATTTCCTTCAAAATATCCTTTACCCTATTTACATGCTTGCATATTCCTTTCATTTTGTTTTCCCCCTACAGCTTTACTAAGAGAATTAATTATCTAGAAGAACAGGAACATACAGTAAGTACATCTGAGATACAGGATGAGAAACAGTATGTCATCTATTAGGCCTGGCTAAGACCAGCAGCTGATGCTAAATGGGAAGGAACATGCACCAAATGTTTTTTAATCACAAAGTTAGTAATTAATTGCTCTTTAAAATACATTTTATGCTTTTTTCTGTCTGTGTACATGAAATGCACATTTATTACATGCCAAAAATTACAACATTATGGTTTAAATGTGACTGGCACGGAAGTCCGGAAATCAGAGTTAATGTTCCCACAGCAACTTTAATTCTGTCCGTGTGCACACACAGAGCCATAATCGCCTTCCGTTCCCGGATCATACATATAGATGGTTTGGGGAGGGAGGCTAACGACCCATATCCTCAACTGTAGTTACAGGAACAAACAAAGGATATAAGCTGTGCTCCTTTCCACATATGTGGATAAAAACAATGTCCCTGTGCCCAGTGTTGTGTAATCAGGGGATGAAAGAATCTGCTGTGATGCAGGCACTTTTGGGGACAGTTTCTGTTGCTGTGGGAACCTGAACTTTGCATTTCCTGACTTTGGGGTAATTAAAATGTCAGCCTTAATGTGGCATTAATGGAGTTTGCCATAAAAAATCCTCTTTGCTTTGTTCTCTAAAAAAATCGCTTGAAAGTTCAAACTGAACCAAGTGTACTAAAATTTTTAATCTCAGGGACTTGGACGGGTGAAGCAGAGGGTTGGGGAGGGGAGAAGGCCAATGAAGACCGTTGGCGAGACAGACAGAGGGACGAGTCCATTGACCTCCTCGCCAGGGTTCAGCCCCAGCAGAGTCATGCTACCTACAGAGCTAAAGTTAAACCCACCCACACAACAGTTTGGTAATGTGTAAAGGTTAAATTAAAAATAAATAAAAACTGCTAATGCGTAAGTGCATCTTGGCAAGGACACACAAAAATAAGAGTCTGATGAGGCCAGTGCAAAACATGGGAAGGTAAGTAACCACGGATGTCAGCTTCCAACAAAAGAAAGACAAAGTAATCAGTGGGTCTACAATCGGAATTGGGGAGGACTGCCCAGGGGGGAAGAGTCACTTCTCCACTCCCCTTCAGGGGGAGGCTTATTTTGGGAAAACTGATACGGAAGAAACACGCAAGTACAATTTGCCCCTATCGTGTGCATATGACTGTGATATGCTTCATCTAGGTATTTGTCAGGAAAGGTTTCTCCCGTGGAGAGCCTCGTCTGTTTTCCTGGTTTAGTCCTGTTTCAGCATCTGAAGGGAGAACTTGACTCCTCAGCCCATCCTGAGCCTGTTCAGTGGGTAACTGTCCTGTCAAACACCTTGGGGCTTTATACTCATTTCAGAAGTCATCTTAACGTCTTCCATTATCATTATTTGAGTTTGTTTGCCGTCAGGTTTTTAGAAGTGGTGCAGAGGTGAAAAGCTAGGAGGTAATGGGGGAATACTACTAAAAGGAAGTTGTTAGTGCATAAGCTGCAAAGTAGCACACATCTCAGTAGCAGTATTAACTTCATCGTCTCACAATGGAAAGCACTTCTCGACCATCTTCCTTCTTGTTTTGAATATTGCTGGGATCTTTGGCCAAATCTGAAGTGGCTCAGCAGGTTAAATAGTCCACTGAGAATATAAGGGGTCAGACTTATTTTCTTCGCTCTACAATTTGGCCCGTGCCCTTCAGATGCAACAACACTGTGGCTTACCTTCCCTTACCAGTTCATATTCAGAGCTAGCTTTTCTTTTGTGGGGACGTTTACACATCATGTTCTATAACTCAGTCACCAATATGAATAGTTGAATATTTTCAAGATGCCTGTTTAGAGCCAGGAATGCCACCTCTGGGCTTGGAACAGAGAAGTTGGGCTGCTCACAGTGACAGCAAAGTCACAAACATCCCCAATATCTGAGTAAGCTAATTACTGAGCAAGTCATTCTTCTATCTGACTGTCAATTTTCTCAGTTTTCTCATCTGTAAACTGGGAAGAATTACAATGACTGACAGGAAATGGGCACTACAGCATGACTCAGAATAATTTTGCTAAACACATGACAAATGAAAAGGTGCTATAAAAATTCGGGCACTTGTGAAAGCTTGGACTATTACACACTGGTGGGAAGTTTCTGAAGTTAAAGAGACAAACAAGTCAAGGATATTATTATTAAATGCCCCAAATCTGTTAGTTCTAAACAGGACTGTATATTTAACCTTAAAGAAATTAAACTTTTAAATTAATCTATAGTAAGAGTGACATTTGAAAATAAAAAAAAGCAAAGAAAGTAAAGGAAAAAATCTTCTTGAATGCAAGAAGAGCATCCAAAAATTTTAACAGCTTAAAATAAACCTCTTTCCTGCCTTCTCTTAAGCAATCTCAAAACGGCCAGATTTCTGTGAATCTTTCCTGAAAACAATTTTCTTCTAAATGTAAGCTCAAATCAGGACAAACTACAATTCGAATATATTTGGAGGAAAGTATAATCAATTTAAACAACAGGTTGGAGCAGAGAAGACTTCACATCTTAATGGCAAAATCAAAATGACTTTTTAAACAGCTGGAGATTGGGTTTCTCCTCCCCCTCAGACACCCTGCTGACCTGCTTCCTCAGTGCTGAGGGGCAGTCCGGTGGCACCATGCTCGTCTGGCTCCCTGTACATGTTCCGTGCCAGTGCCAAGGCCTGGTAGGAGGATGCTTACAGTAAAGTACAATAAATGGAGCCCAGTGCTTCTTCTAGTCAGAAAAACATTCATTTTGCTGCAACAGGGGATTTCTGGGCTAAGGCCATTCTATGTAATCTTCCCCATAAGGTGTGGCAGAAAGCCAGGCGATGAGGGTCTGCGTGCAGGAGCTCCAGGCCCTTCTCCACGGGAACAGGCTACCTTCCTGGTAGGTAGGGACAGTGTGCACATGTCTGTGGGCACTGTGCCACGTTGTTTTCCAATTCTTCCTGTAATTACTATTAGGCCGGAGACTGCCAGGCAAGAAGGGCCAAGGATGTTACTATTACAATGGCGCACGGAACACAGTCCCCGCTTCTGACCCCAGGTTTCTCTAGAGAAGCAGCAACTGTGTACAAATTACATAGGCAATAGAGATTTGGATCTTCTTACTTCTTGTTTCATTTTCTAGTGACAGCTGGAGTGTGGTCTCGGCCCAGCCATGGACAGAACAATCTTCCTTTACCCCAAACGCAACCCCGAGGTCTTGTCCCCTTGTCTAGAGACTGTTCAAAGAAAGCAAGTAGGAAATGGAATCTCCTAGACTCATCCACCTCTTGCCCTCTTTGTAAAGTTTTACATTTGTTTTGCCAGAATAATAATACTAGGAAATTTAGAATCTCCTTTCCTAATTCATAATCTGTGTCTTTGTGGACAGAATAAATGGAGTCTTTTCTTTTGTGAAAATAAAGAAATTTCTTGGTCATTCTAAAGAGGAATACGCCAGTTCTTTGCCTGTTACCATATTTCCTTCACAGAGATGAGTTCAGAACAGTTGTTGGGTATCTCAAGACTGAAAGGAATATTCTTTCAGATTGGACCTCAAAGTTTTTCCATTCCTTTCCTTGTCAACACACGTATTTCTTTTCTCTCTGAAGTATTGGGTTACGTTGCAGAAAGAGAATGAAATCTCCTAAATGTGATTTATCAACTTTCTTAAAATAGATTTTAAAGAAGTGACTCCCAGATTAGTGAGAAGACAGCAAAAATAAACAGCAATGCAGCGATTTCAATAGGGACGATCTCATTAAGCTGCCCATTTCCAAATTTAGCCTGTAGGCAGTTTTTTTTAATTAAAAAATATTTTTAACCTGAATTCTTATTGGCTACGTGAAGTCTGGGTGGCTTCTGAATTCTTGGAAGCCATTCTCTTTTCTTCTGTAAATTTATGCTATCCTTTAACCACTTCAAAATAAATTAAAAACTGGAAAGACAGAAATCCAGCCAAGCTGCATGAGACTCCAATAACTAATGCAAAGCTGATTTGTGTTATGTAATTTCATAATGGGTGTTTCCTTGCATCTAACTGGCCTTCTGAGGTCCATATTTGGTTACTCAATTAAGCCATGGTGGAAGTGCTGTTATTCTGATCACGGGGACAAAATAATTAGAAAGCAGCGACACAACTTCACAACTTCTTTTTTTGAGTTACTGTTATGAAAGAGAATGTGGTTTGTGTAATCAATCAGCCTTTTGAGGCCAAACGGCTGGTCACCTGGTTTTAACACTCCAGCTTTGAAAATATAGATGTTGGCTGAATCAAAATGGTGGCAAATTACTTTTGGCTACTTAAGAAGACCAAATGGAGACAGCTTGCTCTGAATGCAAAAAAGCCAGAAGCCAGGGGAAAAGCATGCTCCAAGCACCACGAAGACACCATCACCTTACTGGTGTACTCACAATCAGATGACCCGGTGTGAGCGTGAGAGTTTGTCAGTGAATGTGTTGAGTGGATGAGGGCTGGGTCTGGAGACAAAACAGCTTCAAAGTTCAGGCAGGGAAGGCCCGGCTTGGCGCTGGATCCACCCGGCTGAGTAATCTCATTCTCCTCAGATGCCTTCTGGTTTTCAGCTGTCTTGGGTTTCTTCCTGAAAATAAACAAAGGGCCCTTTGAAGGAACTGACTGCATATTTGGGAAAAGGCATTTTTAGAATCTGTTAAAGATAACTTGATTTTTTTTTTCTGAGGGGGGATGGGAGGGAGTCCAGTATGTCCCTTGTTTTAAAACAAGCTGATTCTTGTTTTTTTTTCCCCTCCAGTAATGGCCTAACTGGGAACACATGAAAGCATATGGGCCGAGCAAACAGCACCACATTTGGACTCTGTTGGCTGCATAAAAAGACCCTGTCCCAGAACTTTAGACAGCTTGAGCTACGTATGGCTGACATTATCCAAGAAAGCATCCTTTTTTTCCCCCCTTAAGAGTTTTAACATGGTCTGGAAAAGTACTAGGGGATGTTTACCGTTCTAGCATTTGTCAGGAAGCTTAGAGACAGGACCCGTGGAGTAATGGGAGGAGCACTGGACTGGGAGTCAGGAGACTTGAGCTATGGTACTAGCTGTGCCTCTAACTTGCTGTGTGGCCTTGGGCACCTCACTTCACCTCTCTGGGCTTCAGTTTCCTCATCTGTAAAATAAAGGGCTGGGATTAGAAGGCCTTAGATGTTCCTTCCAGCTTTCATTTCTATGCATGGAACACATTATGAACATTCGACTTTCTTGAAGTTTTCTATTTTATTTTAGATCAACACATAATTTCAAATCACAGTCTAAATCTGCAGGCTGTACAGATGACAGGGAGGTAGTGATGTTGGTTTTCACTGAAGTAGCAAAGGAAAAGTGAAAAGAAGAGCTTAGATTCCAATAGGTAGAGGGAAAGTATCACATGGATAACCTCTGTTGCAAACTCATTACTCATCCAAAGCTTAAGGTTCCCTTTGCTCTTTGACTTAGAGCATCACTCTTGAGTATAGGAGTGTGATTGCATGTTTCAGCTGTGACAAAGAGATGGGCAGAAAGAATTAGAAAGTAATTATTGCTAAATGTTATTTGGGGTAAGCAATAGGAAGTGAAAGACCTCAGCTATTGGTCAGTCCCAGTCTTCTCTCCCTTGGACGATGCAACCGATATATAAATAAACAAACACTTAGCTTAGACTGAATGTACCCTAGGCCTCCGCCACACTGGATTATTAACTATACCCTAAAAATTCTCCCCAATTTCCTTGGCTCTATGTCCTTTTCTACCATTATATGCATGGTGACCAGATAAAGTGCTTTATTTTATTTTTGGGTAGAAGATTATGTGTGGTACGGAAGTTGCTGTAAGTAGTTTTGTTTCCATGTTTCCATTCTTTCTATAAGCATGACAATGGACTTGTTACACAGAATATTTTCTGTTGGAATTTGTTGTATTTATTGGGTAGTTAAATCTGCCTCCACAGAATATGGCATTGCGATTGCCATGCTATGTTTCTGGTCTAGCAGGTTGTGAAATGAAATCTGATTTTTCTGAGGACAGGAGGCAGAGATGGCATGGTAAAGATGAAAATAGAGGGAAAGCTTTTAGGCGTATTTTTCAGTTGGGAAGAAGCTGACATAAGAAATAAACTGTAATGCTTTACCAACTGTTTGTTGAGTGGGTGACCGGGAAACTAACCTCAAATTCTGAATGTCTACAGAGACCTCCAAAGACCTGGTTTCTGGTTTTCAGTTTAATGAGGTTTCCCAAGATGAAAGTCTCCAAGCTCCCAACTCCTTTTTTTTTTTTTTTTTCCCTTACGAAAACCAATATCTCCTCTAAAGTCCTTATTTCTATCACCATTGTTTGTCACCAGGTTGGAAGCCTCAGGGTCACACACCTTCCTCTCTCTTAAAATTAATTAATCAAGTCCTGAAAACTCTGCTTCCTTTAAGTTCTTCATATCCATTTTTTCCTTTCCTTTTCCACTGCAATCACCTGAAAGCTTTTTATTTAGGCTGTTGCTTACTTTCTGGCTCTCCACCTCCTTGGCTCCTCTAGTTCCTCTTCTCTGCATTCACTAAATCTGAGGCGACCACATTAGCCTTACTCTCAGGCTGAGTTCCATATCTGCTTCTAGCTTAGCTCACATGCCGTACATGTTGGCGATACTGAACCCTCACATTTCTTGAGTATTTCCAGAACATCCTGGGGAATAGTCATCCTTGCTCAAGTTATTTCTCTTGCTTTAAATGTCCTTTTTTTCCAACTCTGTTGAAATCCTATTTATCCTTTATATTTATTATATGTTGTCTCTATCTTATAACTGTGATTTCTCTCTACCAGATAGGACTCCTCTCTCTCAAATTCTCCTCCCTCCCATCTTCCTCTGAAATCCTGAAATACTTTTTACTTCTTTTATTTCACTCACTAAATTTTGGTTCATTAACGGTTATTTATGTGCTTATCCCTTCTCCCTGACACTGTAAACTCTCTGAGGGTAAGGAAAGGTCCTCACTATTTTTGAGTTCCCTGTGTTCATGCACTGTTCCCATCTTCCTCCCCTCCCACCATTCATTTAGTCATGTATTCATTTTCCAAATACTTACTGTGTGACTACGATGTGACAGCATGGGTTAGGGAATTAAAACAAGGCTGGTTTTTGCCTTTCCAGAGTTTGCTGTCTAGTGTGTACAGTTAGGCCAAATAGCCTAGACATAGCTGTCATCCAATATATGCTTGTTGATAGAATGAAATGGAGCAGAAATTAAAGTGTATGTTGGGAATAGTCATAGAATGAGTCCCAATTAAGTTTCCTACTCTTGATACAGCAGTGAAATCTACCTTGAGTGGCTGATTTTACTTTGAATCCATGAAGGGCGCTTGGTAGAAGTACGGCCATTTTGCTCACTAAAGTTAGGCTGATCCTCAAGATTCATTTAAATACAGGGATGAAACACTAATGACAGATATCACTTAACAGAAAAAAAATATTTATCTCTGCTGCTCTCACACAAGGCCTACACCAGTTTCAGATGTGCACTTTAGGAAATTAAAGAAGCCCTCTTCCAAATGTGAGTGCATGGTCAACATTACTCTTTTCTTTTTATGATGACACAAATTGTATTGTTCTTTAAATGCCCTTGCTCCCTTCCCTAGGTTTGATCCTGCTTCCTACCTGACATCTTGCATCACTTTTGAGGAATATTCATAGCACAGAGGCATTGGAGCCACCTCAATGAACAGTAAATATGAAAAACTCAACCTTAATTAATTTATACCCCCACTTGCCTAATATCGCTTTACTTGTCTTTATGCCATTGGACTGTTTCCCAGATGCACAGACAATATAGAGCCACTCACTGCCTTTAGAAGCAATTCATTCTCCATCTCACCTTCTCCAATAGTCCTTTTGGACTCCTTTTTCCAGAGCTGAGAAATACTGAAATATAGCCTCAGTCTATGCCTACAAATGCACAGGGGTTCTGTTATTTTGACCCCAATTTTGCAGTTCACAGTCTATGAAGGAGTAAAGAGCAACTCCTATAGTGATTAATTGAAAATACCTTCTTTGGTTGTGTAAAAATAATTATACAAATATGGCACATCTAAGGACCAGTGTCTCCAAGCCTCTGTGGCTGTGCATTATTCCCTGGAGCCTTTAGAGGGCAGCAGCACACTGGCTGATTCCAGGCAGCCTTTCAGAGAGGCAAACTCCCGACCAGACCAGAACCTTCCTCCTGGTCACCATGCCAAAGGTTGGTTTGCCAAGCTCTGGCCGATCAGCCTCTTTCTTTCTTTTCAGTACTCAGCACGCGCGCGCGCTCTCTCTCTCTCTCTCTCTCTCTCTCTCTCTGTCTCTCTCTCTCTCTCTTTCTCTCTCTCTGTCACCCCCACCCCTCTTCCCTCCTTCCCTCCCTCAATGTTAAAATTAAACACTCTGATGAAGTCGCCCCTCAACCGGAAAATGAAAGCTCCAATGAAAAAGTTAGACAAGCCAACAACAACAAAGAAAGAAACTGGGAGAAAGGGGAAAGGCGGCTGGTGAGGGGGAAGGATTTAAGAACAAGAAAAGGGCAGATGTTTCGTAAATATATGCAAAGCAAAACTGGATGTACCCTGAACACTTCCATAGAGAAACAGACCAATCATTGTGCACTTCCTCCTGCCACCCTGATGGGAGCTCAGCATACAAACAAACAAACAAACAAACAAACAAAAAAGTGTGGCTGCAGGCACCTGCCTTTCAATGGTTAGTTCTGACCATTCTGACCGCGTATGTCCCAATTGTCCAAGAGAACAAAAATATTTTCATCTCTCCACTGAAAACATTTCTGTTATGAGAAAAAGAACTGGAAAGGCGTTTTAGGTGACTGACGGCTGGGTTAGCCAGCAGGACCTTCTGGGTTTTAACTCTCATCGTGCCGGCCCTGCCAACAAGTTTTAGGCTGAAACATAGCAGTGAGAAAGATGAGATGAAGTTGGCTCTTTCCTTACTAGACCATATTGTATGTGGAGAGAAATATGCATTAAAACATATTGATGAGATAGTAGGTATCATGCATGTGAAATGCATGGAAATTAACCAGATCGGTGGCATTTGATGTATATATTTCACACTCTTTGCACATATTGCACACATACAGTGATGGCAATGCTTTCTGCAACATATGGAAAATAAATATTTTATCTGTGTGAGCTCTTATCAGTCTTTAGGGTCTGTTGAGAGAAGAGCGTTGTCTTCTATCTCCCTCTCCCAATTTTCTCTCTTCACTGGGCTCCCGCCCTCTCCTGCACATTGACATGCCCTTCACTCATCAGCCTGGCTGGACAGAAAAGAATTAATAAGGACCTCCTTTTGATTAATAATTACTTAGTCATTAGATCATGATAATTTAGACCAATGATGCCCTTCCCACCCCCTGCCAATCTTACTCTCTTTCCCAATAGTACATCAGGAAAAGCTTAGCAGAATGTTCGGGGATGGGGGCACAGGGCAGGCGGTAACAAACCAGCCCACTGAGGCCTGGTGGCAGAACTGAGTTCCACCATCTAGCAGCTGTGTGCTCTAGACAGATGACACTGCTTCTCTGGGCCTCAGTTTCCTCATCTGCAAAGCAGAAATAATAATACCTACCCTCAAGGGCTGATGTGAGAATTAAATAAGATAATTCATGACAAGTGACTGGCATAGTCTCAGCACATGGTTAGTGCCCAATCATGGTAGCTCTTTTGACAGAGAGAGTCACTTCTGTGGTTTTTGTCATTTCAGCTATAGCAGGGCACTTCCTTTACCTTAGTAATCTTTCTTAATATTTAGATTTGCACAGAGGCAAATGCACAGTAACTGTAGCCAAGGTGGAAAGAATGCTAGGATAAGCAATCTATTCTTGAGCATTTTCGTCTTACTGCATCACCCTCCTGACACCTTCTTTCTGTCCATGTGTTTGTCATTGCTGCTTCTATACCAAGAGCTCCTCTTGACGCTGAGGGTCAAACAAGGCGCACTTAGCCTATAGAAGCCCATCAAACATAAGCATGATGGTCTATTCATTCAAACCAACCTTCGACACTCTCTCTCATCACGTGTTCTTACAATTTGTTCTGTCACTACTTGGTCTAATGTTCTCAGATCAATTTAAGATGTTTTCATGTATAAAACATTTTATTCTCTCAATTTTTTAAGCCTTCTTGGCAAGGCTGATTTAGAATGTTTTTTAGTGTATCTCTCCCTCACTGTATCAGTCAGGATCCTGGCAACAAACAGATGGCACACTCAAAGGTTTTAACTGAAGAGAGTTTAATGAAAGGACTGTACACTAAGGTACAGATGAGGTTAAGGGAACCTCAAGAGATGGCGGAGCACCAGGGAGTATCAGTGGTGGGAAGCTGTTAATCCTCAGCTTTAAAATGTTAAACTGGCCCTGGCCCATGCAACTCAGTTGGTTGGAGCATTGTCCCATAGACTGAAAGGTTGCAGGTTCGATTCCTGGTCAGGGCACATATGCAGGTTGTGGATTTGACCCCGGGTTGGGCTGTGTACAAGAAGTCAGTCAATCAATGTTTTTCACATTCAAGGAGCGAGGGAAGGTATGGAGTTCTCTAAGTCGATTCTGAACTGGAATTGGGAAGCGGGCTAAATTAATTCACGCGGTGACCTTACTCTCCTCCTACTCTCACATCTCTTGCTGATGTTTCCTTTAGGCCATGGTCAAAGGAAAACCAGTGGAGAAGATCACTGGGCAAAGGAGTCCAGAGAGGTCAGCCTCTGGGGCCACAAATCAGGGCAGAGAATGGTTCTGGGGTTTTTTGTGTGTATGTCCAGTGTGGCAGAAGACTAGCAGGCATGCCTGTTCTTCCCTCTCCATTCCTTTGCCTTCTTCCTCTCAATTTTTACTTTCTGGAATGAAAGATACACCAAGATAAAATGAAATCAGTTCTCTTCTAGCATCCACATACCTATTTTATCTATTTGCCACTTACGAGAGAAGAAAACTGAATGTAAGTTCCATGTGAGCAGGTGTTTTTGCTTGCTTGTTGCCATAACTCTAGTGCCTGGAAGAATGCCTGGCACATCGTAAATGTCCAGTAAATTTTAGTTGACAGAGTAAATACACTCGCCACTGCTGTGTCAGACACTACATATACATTCTCTCATTTAATTTTTACAAGGTTAGTAGGCAGGACCATTGAGCATGGTTGTCCAGGTGGAGTGGAAGTAAGTAGGTTTTAAAATCTAGCACTCGCCCCCTTCCGACCCACCCCCAAGCCTTGAGAACTGGCCTAGGGCATTGTCAACCCACAGAAAGTGACACATTTTTGTAATCAATCCACATTTTTTATACTTTAATCACCTTATTGCTTTTTGTACCTACCAAGTGTCCTTAAGTTTTATTATTTTTTTCTCTTTCCTACACGAAGGAGCTGAGTTTCTGAAAAGCAGAGGCTACAAGGATTAGACCCAATCTGTCCATTCTCTAGGACCTGTGAAATGTGAAAGCAGGCACTGGCTTTCTGCACAGGTGAAATACTCCAATGGCAGAAGCAGATGCTCACTTGTGGGCTGCCTGGTGGTTTCCAGGAAACTGCAGGTCCTGATTTCTGGGTCTGGATCTAGGTTCTTTGTAGCACAGGAAGGTGGGAATGGTAATGACTTTTTCCTCTCCCAAAGGGTACAGAAACTTTGAAACCTGTCTGTATCCTAGTACAGCTGTGCTCTTGTACAGCACAGTTACTCTGTGATGAAGAAAAACTCAGAGAACTATGCGGATGTGGGATTTTCTAAGGCACACCTTGCCCTTGAGCTTAAGAATGAATGAATGTGGTCACACAATAAGTTCCTTGCCTGGGTATGAAGTGAAGAAACTTATGTTTGATCTTATGTCATGTCTTCAGTCCCCAGTCATTTAAATTCATTGAGATGGCAGAGCACTCTGATGGTCCCCATCTCCATTCGGGCCAGGAGGCCTGCCCATCTCCTATACATCTGCTCCCATCCATTACAATTCAGATGACTTAAAACATTCAAGGAAAAAGCAACATAAAACAAAACAAAGCAAAAACTCTGGTTTTATCCTACTGGGGTTGATTTTTTCCAGAATAACTAAAGATATAGAAAATATAACTACAAAAATCCTACCTGAAGCCTAAGAGGGATGTTAGCCTCTTAGATTTAGCATTTTCCAGTAACAGAGGATTGCTGTCAAATACTATCCCATTATCTGCCTCATACCATATAGGAAGACTTGTGAATACAATGAATAGAATGAGTTCTTGTTTTAAAATGTGTAATTGAGTTATTTTGCAAGCATAACCTTTAAATAACTTAAATTTCTGGCTTTTCTAGTGAAAAACAAACCTATATATTTAATGTTACTTTTAGCAATGATTAATGAATGCTTGATATCAATCTTCCATCAGCGTCTTCCTAGAAGCATCCCTTCTCCTACCCCAACTTATCTCCACACCTTGCCTTGCAAGGGCTATATCCCCCCCCCACCCCCCACCCTGCATAAATGCCTGTTATGGAGGAAACTAAACCCAGAACACAGAGCTATGCATTCAGAGGGCAGAGCTGAGCTGGATACAATGGCTGAGAGATGTGGCTGAAGGAGCCCAGATCCCCAGGGGGTAGGCCTTGGTCCCTTAGAGTAGCAGGGAGGCAACAGCACAGGCACAAGACAGCAGGTAGAGATGGGTAAGGGAAGCGGGCTACCCATTTTGACCAGGGTGGCATGAAGTGTCAAGCTCCAGTGGCACTCAAAAGAGTGGCACAGCAGGGTGATGAGAGGTGAACAAGTTGGGCAGGAGCCTCAGGTAGAGGTGCAGATGACCAAGCAGAACAGCACCGGTGCGTGCAAGGTGTGCTCAGATACAGCTCGGCGCAGCCACCTGGAGGGGAGGGTGTGATGCTGCACAGGTGTTGACTGCAGACTGGAAGCTGAGAACTGCTGCGGGCACCTCAGGACTGAATCTGATTACCTCGCTGCATCCAACAGATGAAGCCGTCTAAAATTTCGTCTGCTTTTACAATTATGTGTGTGTGTGCGCGCATGCACGTGTGTGTTTTAATTAAAGAGTAAACTGAGAGGCCTTTCGTTGGAGGCATAATGTACTCACAGTAGTTTCCAAATAAATGGTGTCACTCTTCAGGTAAATCACTCCAAGCCTTGGGCCTAGTGCAGATGTTCATTGGGGCAGGGGACGGAGAGTGACTGCATCTAGATCAGAAGAGAAACAAACAAAAATCAGTCTGTTAAATGACTAGGTGAAGGCAATCATTCGTTTTGATAAAGACAGAACAGTGGGATGTGGTTGAGAGGCCGGTTGTGTATCCTTACACGAGAGGCTGAGAGTCAGGGCAGGGGGACGGGAGAGGATGCCATCTGGGCTCCCTTTTCAGCGTCTACCCGATGGCCTGCATGGTGCGACAGCATCGACAGCTCCCAGTTGGTGCAGCTGGAATTGACTTTGTGGTTCTGAGTTGGAAGCTGAGGTGGAGGGTCAGGGTGGGGGAAGTGGCAGCAGCTTTGCCACAGCTGACTCTTTTTCCAGCATTCTTGATTCCACTGCAGTCTCTCCCTCTTTAGTGCTCAGTGCTTACCTATTCTCAAGATGCCCGTGGACCAGGGCCACGCTTCTGAGCTCTTACATTTTCTCTCCCCTTCGCTACAAAGTCTCCATTTCCTTCATAGCCTCTAACCTGTGGAGTTCAGCCATTGGCGCTACAGAATTGATGACCATCTGTCTCAGAGCCTCACACCCAAGAGGCCTTTTCCCAGGCTTTGCCCCTTGGCCACACTGGGCTTACATGACCATTTGATTCCTGAAACTCTCCTCCTTTCACACCAGGATCTTGCATTTATCTGACTTTCCTCCTACCTTCAGTTTTCTCTTCTGCTTCCCTCAATGGCTGGTCTTCTTTCTCCTGTTCCTAAATTTAGATATTCCTCAAGATGCTCTCCTCAGGCTTTGCTTACACCCACCCTCCATGACCTCAACAATCACTTCTCCACAGAGAACACCCACATTGCTATCTTTAGTTTTTGCTTGTCTGCAGAGCTCCAGACCCACATTCTAAATAGCTGCTGGTAACTGGCTCATTCATTCATTCATTCATTCAGTGTTTGTAGGCACCTGGACAGATGAATGAGATGGGGCCTCTAACTCTGAGCAGCCTACATCTCCATCAAATACTGTACAGGCACTTCAAATTCAGAAAGTTTTAAGACAGAATTTATTGCCTTTCCCTGAAAAAGTGTTCTTTCTTTAGCCTTCTCATTTCTTGCCATAGGTACCATCTTCATTCAGTAACTTGGGTCAACAATTGAGGAGTCATCTTTCACTCCTTTTCTTTTACTCCCCAAATCTGATCGGCTGTCAAGTTCTATGGTTTTTCACTCAGTCTGTGCTTTCTGAATCAATACTTGCTTTCTATCCCAACACTGACTTATCCTTTTGTCACCTGTTCCCAGGGTTTCTGTGAGAGCCTCCTAACTGCCTTCACTTTCTCTAGATGCTCCTTACCACCAGCCCATCCTTCATAATCAATACTACATTAACTTTTCTAAAGTACCATTCTAAACATGTTACTTCTTTGCTCTTTTGCTTATTCTCAGTTTGGCATTCAAGGCCCCTGAAATACAGCCCGAATCTAATTTCCCACTCTTATCTCTACAGTCCATTCTCCGCTGCTGCAAAGCCCCCCTCTTTCTCACCATGCGCACGGTGTTTCCTCCCTTTCCCAATGTCTCCATACAGTTTCTTTAAGGGCCATCCAAATGCTGCCTCATTTATGAAGCATTTCCCAAAGGAAGGTGCCCCTCTTGAGTCCTTAAGCACTTATGCACTAAGCCTTTTGCACATTCTATAGACTCTAATAATTTTTTGTGCAGTTTATCTCCCTCCTCTATAGCGCCTTGAAGGCAGAGAATGTTACTTTGTGCACCCTGTAGTGTGTAATGCCTTGTACACAGGTCGTGCGCTCGGCTGATGTATGCTGAACTGAATTTAAAAGGAAGAAAAGATTCTTGCTTAGTGTCATGGAAACTAAGACTGAATTGGAAAGACCTTAAAGCTTATCTACTCTAACCCCCTCATTTTTCAGATGAGGAGATTAAGGGAACTGCCTTACTCAACACCACATCCTTGTTACTGGCTGAGTAATGATAATTGATATAAAAAGTCACAAATGTCTAAGTATCTCTTAGTGTTTGCTCAGCAGCAACAAGCCCAGCAGACCATCAGCAATGACTAGACAAGAGAGAGTGAGGGGCTGGGAATGCATTGCTTGCATTCCAAAATAATAAAAAAATCCAAAAAATAAAAAAATTTTGTTGCAACTAATTTACCTCAATAAATCAAACAAATAAATATCTGCTGATAGTTAAATAATACTTTAAAAATGAGGTAGATTTTAAAAAACAAGGAAGCAAACTTTTCTAAACATACCAGAAGAAACAGTATGACAATATTGCAAATACCAGTGGGGTGATAAATTCAGGGTGAAAACCAGAATGAAGAAATTTCTCATGCTTCGGAAAAGCAGTGGGTTCAGCGGAAGTTGCTGGTGCAAACATGCTACAGTAATTCTATGGTTAAATTCATTACCTTAGAGAAACACAGGCTATTGGTAATTCTGCTATTATGCCACATCAACACTTCTTTTCAACCTAGCTTTGCCCAGTATTTGTAAGTTTAATTTTTTACTTACTTTTCCCTCATTATATCACTGATTTACTTGTAAAAATACAGAGATGACTGCTCCCACGTCTGCCTAATTTCCTTCCCTTATTTTCCTCTTGTGGTAGAAGAAACATTAATTGTTTAATCTCATATTTATCCTCACACAGAACCATTTTCTCTCATCAAAAGATGAGAAGCAGAACCAAACATATTATGGGAATAAGTGTTTACCTAAGTTAGAGAAACAGACTTTTCCAGGAGATCTCCGTAGTTTTCACTTGGTCACAAAAATTCAGCCTTTAAATGTTAGCCTACAGTGCTACAGGCTGCCTCTGACTCCCACGTGAGCACTTTACTCATGGTTATTCGCCAGAGGAAAAACTTGGTACTATTAATCATATCCTTTATGGCCAGTCCGGTGGAGCCATGCTATGCATCAAAATGTCCATTAACTCTCAGCACCCCAGTAGCCACATAGACAGTAAATGGGCTCAAGAGCTCCTCATCGTTCTTACTAAACCATCACATGGCCGGACAGGTTATCAACACTTCCCCAGTCAGAGCTGCCTTGTCTGTTCTCCCCCTGGCAACTACATTAAAATGATAAAGGAAATCACTGATCGATATGTCTAGTACATTGCAGTGAAAAACCTCCTAGAAGCATACGAATCCATTGTGCAATTAGATAAGTGTAGTACATTTTAAATATGCCTAACATTTGATTTAAATCACGGATTTTATAATTAAGTGGAGACATAATCTTCCTGTCTTCTAACCAAACTCCTCTTTCTCAGTCTCACGTCTTGCTGTTATGATCTTCCTTTCATTTTATGGCAAATTTCCCTTCTTCTTTCCCCTCTTGCCATAGTGCACACCTGAGGGTCTATTAATCAGAAATGCTGCATGGTGGGTCATGTTTTATTGCTTAAAGGATGGTTCTCTTCTCAAGAAGACTCGGTGAAATGACTTCAGGAAGTTTCATATTTATTCTTTTTCAATGACTTCCATATCCAATGTAGTCAGTTTTTAAGTCGAAAGATAATTTTGAAAGGTTGCTGGGGCCTCACATCCTTCCCAGAACTGCTCCCTCTGCCTCTTACAATGCCACTGTGATAGAGAATCTGCTCTTGGAACCCAGCTGGAAAGTACTTGGTGGAGTCAGAAGCAGAGGAGACTGCGTGGCCCCTTTCCATTCCAGCCAGTTTTACTGGTGACTTGTTAGCCACTCTGTCTCGGAAACCCTTGGAGAGCAGAGCTGTTATATAACACGTTGCCACATATAACTGTCAGGAACATTCTGTAGAGGTCTTTTTGCAGTATGGCCCTTCCTATCCTTTTGAAATCACATGAAGTCATTCTAAAATGACGGATGGGATCTTCATGACTAAAGCTTACAAAAGATAATAGTTACAATAATAACTGCCATTCATTAGACCCATAAATTTTGTCAGGGGCTGCACTAGGTATTTTTAAATGTAAATACATTCATTTAATCCTCAAAGCAATGCCATCCTGCAGGTGTTACCATACCCATTTTGCAGATGAGGAAACATGAGGCTCAGAGAGCTCGAGTAACCACTCCAAGATTAGAAAAGCAGTGGACAATGTGGACAGAATTCAAACCCAGATTTCTCTGACTTGAAATCTGTGCTTTTCTCTCTCTGTGCCAACTGCTCCAACATAGCATGGGCACATTTCTAGTTCCTACTGTGATCTCAGCACAAGAAAGATGCTTATGCTGTTTCGATGACAGTTCAGAGCCACTGAAAGAGCAGAGAGCATAGACCTCAGGTGAAGAAATCCTTGCAGAAATTATCAATAAGTATAGCTTCTTCCTAGATCCTTCTTATCTAAAGATGAGAACAGCCCTCTCATCTACCTTACACCTGTTTTCTCAAACTGTAATGATCAAATGAATCATCTGGGATTTCTGGTTCAGCATGTCTGGGACGGAGTCTGTGATTGTGCATTTCTAACGAGCTCCCAGGTGATGCTGATGACACTGGTCTGGGTACCACAGGTCTTACGTCTGACACTCGCTTTCCCACTGTGGGTTGTTTCTGAAGAAGCAGTTCAAGCTGAATAACTTGGCTAACAGCTCACAAGGCTCGACTGGCTTCTGATTCTGGGCCAGTGTGTCAGGTCATCAGGCATTAGACAGAATTCAAGGAGTTTCTGGCATACAGCAAATTATTAAAAAAAATCATTTCTAGATCCCCCTGGGCTTTTCTCCCCCCATTGGAAATTAAAATGATAATGTCTCTAACATGTAAAGTTCCTATTTTTTCCATTATTGTTATTTTTAACAATAATTATCTGGTAATAATTCAAATAACACCTTTCCTCAGAGAAATTCAATGAGCTTTACTAACCTTAATTGTCTAACAGCAATTCCCGGGTGTGGATAAAGCTGTCTCAAAGATCACAGTAAATTTAAAATTGTTCCACTTCCTTCCTCTCTTTGTCCCAAATGTAGTGATGAATTAGTGGTGAGGGGTTACTAATTGGCAAAGACCCACTATCTCATAATTTAAGG